CAGGCCGGGGCAAGGGGCCGATCCGGTGATCAGTGATCGGATGGTGATGAGGGTCAACTCCTCTGGCCGAGGCATCAGGTCTGGGTGGGGGGGTGGAGCAAGCAATCAGAGGGAGATGGGGGTCCCCTGCCCAGGCATGATTCCTGGGCCAGAGGCCTCAGGCCTGGGCGGGGGTCTGAGCCAGTGATGGGGGGAGATGAGGGTCCCCTGTCCAAGCCTGACACCTCTGGCAGAGGCGTCAGGCCTGGGCAAGGGGCTGATCAGGCGATCAGAGGGTGATGGGGGTCGACGCCTCTGGCCGAGGCATCAGGCCTGGGCAATGGTGGAGCCAGTGATCGGGGGAGAGGGGGGTCCCCTGCCCAGGCCTGAATCCTGGGCCAGAGGCAGAGCCAGCAGTCGGAGGGGTCTGGGGGTCCCCTGCCCAGGCCTGACGCCTGGGCCAGAGGCATCAGGCCTGGGCTGGGGGCAGAACCACTGATGGGGGGAAATGAGGGTCCCCTGCCCAGGCCTGACACCTCTGTCAGAGGCGTCAGGCCTGGGCAAGGGGCCGATCCTGCGATTGGAGGGTGATGGGGGTCAACGCCTGAGGGCTCCCAGTATGTGAGAGGGGGCAGGCTGGGCTGAGGGACACACCCCCCACCCCCATCCAGTGCAGGAATTTCGTGCACCGGGCGGGCCCCTAGTATAAGTATATGTCTCTTTTTGGACACTCTATTTTGCTCCATTATCTTTTGGTCTGTTCATAAACCAATATGGTATTCCTTAAGGCCAGGCAATGTAGGACCTCTTTATTCTTTTTTAAAAATTATTCAGATTCTTCTAGGTCCTTTACATTTGCATATAAATTTTAGAATAGTGTCCATTTTTAAAACTGTTGGGATTATTGGGAATGTAATGAATGAATCTTTAAAGCAATTTGGAGAGAATTGCTGTCTTATTAATAGTCTTGGAATCTATGAACATAGTTAAATCTCCATTTATTTCAATCTCTAATATCTCAGCATTCTTAGAATTTTTATGTTAGAGGTCTTGGATATTTTTTTATTAAATTGATCCCAGTATATTTTGATTTTTCATGCTATTTTAAATGGAACTTCAAAATTTTTTATTAGCAAACAAGCTGCTAATATAGAGAAGTAAATAGTTTTTTTTTTTTTTAACTTTGCCTTTGTATATCTTACTTTTTAAATCCACTTCTGATAGTTTCTTTGTTGATTTCTTTGGCTGTTTTCATCAAATAGTCATGTCATCTATGAATAGGAATCGTTTTACCTTTTTTCCATTCTCTTTTTCTATCATAACTTTCTATTTTATTTTTTAAATTAATGCCTTATTGCGCTGACTTGGACTTACAGTATAATGTTAAATAGAAGAGGTGAGACTAGATATCTTTATCTTGCTTCAGATTCTAGCAGGATCTGTATTTCACCATTAAGTGAAAATTAGATTCTGGATTTTTATACATTCCTTATTAGACTAAGGAAGTTTCTATTCCTAGTTTGCTGTGAGTTTTCCCTCATGAATATGCTGAGGAAAAATGTTTTTTCTATATGTATTGATACAATTATGTTTTTCCCTTTAATTCTGTTAATGTGATGAATTAATTTGATTGCTTTTCAAATATAAAATCAACTTTGCATTTCTGAGATAAACCCTTTACAAAATACCTTTTTCATGTCTTCTGCATTCTGTTTGATAATATTTTATTAAAAATTAGTTTTGTGGCCGAAACCAGTTTGGCTTAGTGGATAGAGCGTCGGCCTGCGGATTGAAAGGTCCCAGCTTCGATTCCGGTCAGGGGCATGTACCGTGGTTTCGGGCACATCCCCAGTGGGAGGCAGCTGATCGATGTTTCTCTCTCATCGATGTTTCTAACTCTCTATCCCTCTCCCTTCCTCTCTGTAAAAATCAATAAAATATATTAAAAAATCAATAAAATATATTTAAAAAAATTAGTTTTGTGTCTCTGTACTAACTGCCTGTATATTATTTCTCCTCCTCCTCCTTTGTGATATTGTTACTTGGTTTCAGTGTTATATTGTCCTCATAAAGTAAATTAGGAATGGAATACAATACAGATTTAAAATGGAAGTTATTTTTCCTTTTCTGAAAAATTTTGTGTACATTTGGTATTATTTTTTCTTTCAGTGTTTGATAAAATTTACCAGTGTAAATATATAGGACTAGTGCTCTTTGTACGAAGATTTTAAATTATAAATGCAGTTTTTCAATAGACATAATGATTTCAGATTTTTTTCTTTTATCTTGTGTCAGTTTTGGTAAGTAATTTTCAAGGACTATGTCTATTTTATCTACTTTGTCAGATTTTACTTGTTTTTATATTAGGCCCTTATTTCTTTCTAATTTGTAGTGAACTTGTAGTGATATTTCTGTTTTCATTTATAATATTGGCAATTTGTATTTTCTCTTCCTTTTTAAAAAATTAGTCTTCAAATAGTTTATAATTCTATTTATCTTTCAAAGAACCAAGTTTGTTGGTTTTTTCTGTTTCCTATTCTATTTATTCCTATTATCTTATTTTTTTTAAACTTAGGTTATAATTGCTCAACATTTTAATAGCATTCTTGCTAATTAAGATGAAGCAAGAAGTTGTTACTCTCCTAATAAAATTTCACATTCTAGGACATATGGCATTGATTTATTTGTTATATATTACTCCATCTTTGTTTTTGAGATTATTTCATTATACAAGAAATTCTCAAAACTTTTCACCTTATCTATTGAAGATTTTTTTCGATAAAAATCTTTAAATATAAGTTTTAGGATAATAACTAGTATGAATACTAAAATGCAGATTTATTTATTTAAGTATATTTTTATTGATTTCAGAGAGGACAGGAGAGGGTGAGAGAGATAGATGAGAGAGAATCATTGATGGGCTGCCTCCTGCACACCCCACACTGGCGATCGAGCCTACAACCTGGGTATGTGCCCTGACTGGGAATTGAACCATGAACTCCTGGTTCATAGGTCGACATTCAACTACTGACCAACACCAGCTGGGCTAAAATGCAGATTTAAATAAACTTAATATATGGGTTAATAACATTAATGTCAAACTGTTCTCTATGCTGAATACCTTTATTCAAGTAATCTAAATAATGCTAGATTACTCTTCCTATAGTACCACTTATTTATTTTATTTCCTGCTGTAGAAACTTATAATAGTTATTTATTGCTTACAAGATTTTATCTAGTCTCCTCTGTCAGTCACATTCACCAAGCTTCCTATTTCTGCCTTATACTTCAACTCTTTTTTCTGCAG